TCTTCGATCGTTATTTTGTTTTTACCGTTGCGCAAAGTACTGTGTTAAATCAGCAATCCAACGATTTTTGTATTATCATAACGTGTTAGCAAATAACGATATTTGTCACCTGTTTTTAAATAGAATTTACTAATTAACTGCTTCCGGCACTTGTAAAATACGTTCGAATTTTATTATACAACCTGATTGACAGGAGACAAGCGGAGAGAGATTTTTCTCATCTTTGATTGATGAGAGAGTTCATCAAATTGTAGGAACAGTATGTACATCGTTCGAACAGTAACTCATCGTTTTCTTGACACAAATAACTGACTACTTTTGGCGGTAAGGTCAGTGATTCCGGTGCTTGTATAAGACAGGAATCCTCCGAAACTTGTCTTGTTTTCAGTTGATTCTGCGTTGATCCGAGATCATTGCTGTCGAAAACGACTAGAAAAAACCTCAGAAGATAGAAGCAGGATTCCGACTGAAAGATCACCGTATTGGAACCAGCGTATTACAAACGATTTTGATAACCGGAACGACAAAGAAATTATATTGTATCCGAATGGAAACACACCAGAACTCAATTGCTTCCGTGACGGATCACATCGGAATCAGGCGGTATTCTCCTCGAAATATATCTAGACTATACTGTGTCCGTAAAAGACCCTAAAAATATCTCCACCAGACAGTCCCTTGTGCTCTCAAAAAAGATCTTTGGATATCTATTTCTATCACTACAGCAATCTCACCCTCGAAATACCTTCTAAATGAATATCAGTCAAAAGAAAATTTTAAAGATCTTTATTTCTTGAAACAGCGATTTTAGGATGTGAGTGGTGAACAGTAGATCCAAATTAATACTCACAGTCACAACCACATCCAAAATGAATATAAATTTTGTAACTAATGAATATCCTCAAATTGCATCAGACATTTTAATACTAATTACTGTATTCTGCATGAAAGCAAGAATATCTCTTCGACCCATCAAGATCAATATTTGATATTGTATTGCTTGTTTCTCAATAATTTGTTCAACTACTTTTAAGTTTCCTCGAGAAATGGTTCCAAACAAACAAGAAAAATTTTTACAATTATATTTCTCCCATAGGTTGAAAGGTGTGTTGCCATTAAAATAATGAAGTTTTTATGTCTATTATTATTTTGGTGTTTTAGTTTCAGGCTGCATTGTTAATTAGTAAGATATAAATGTAAATAAATCAAATTTCTTTTATAATCAACCGAAGCACTTGAAACATGAGGAAATTTCATGACTATCATAAATTCTATACCAAAAACACAAAAAAAAAATTGGCACTTCGGGTGACGACGGAAACATCAATTTTGATGTATTTCAAATTCATTGATTTAAAAGAATATTTAATCAAAATACATGCAATAAATTTGAAATACATAATAAATATTGTCATTTTCTTTATTTTAAAGCGATTTCTTTGATTTTTTAAGCCCCTGGAATATTTTTCGAAAATGATTGTAAATGAGATTCTACACTGGACATGAAAAGAGAATAGTAACTATGTATAGTCAAAAGTATTCATATGTTAGTTTGGTCTCAAAGTTTAATAGTTACTACACATATATGTACTTAGACTATGAGCTTTATTAATAATTCTATAAACAAATACTAGATACAATTATTATGAAAGTAGTATCTGTTGATTGAATCAATCAGACTTGAAACAATATTTCAACGGTCTGAGTGAAGACGTATGTTAGAGAATTTGTTTCCGTATTTATTAGTCATATCATGTTACGATGAGCTAGAAGCGCATCTTAATACATCCAAATGATGAATATGAAAAATGATAACATGTCAATTCACTATTACTACTTCATTATAAAAAGTATTATATATATGTTTCATGTGTTGTCTGATTATTACAAAAAGCAAAACCAAATACATTAATGTCATTAGACTTCGTTGGATTCAATTGAGTCATGGGTGTGGATATGTGAACAGATGAAGAGAACAACGATTTCTCGGACAATACTCTTGGAATTTTGAGTAGGAGACATATCAATTCCCAAGGCTTAAGTCTATAAACATAAGTCTTTTGTCGCTTTGAAAACATTGAGATTTTAGATTCTGACAAACAATGGATAATTGTGAATTTACTGTAGTGAACTGACATAGTACGCTGATTTCCGAAAAGCTCGATTGTGTTACGAGTATAAAGCAAATGCAACATAAACGTACAGGACAACAAATACCAATAGCATGCAACAGCACAACTGTTGATGTTTCACCTGTTATGAATTGTGATTCTTTCCTATCTGTATTTCGAACTTGATATGCAAGCATCTGGTGTTATCGATCAAAATTTTATAATCATTTTCGATCGTTTGGTCAAGCTCATACCTCAATGGTTAGTGACGTTATATACAATAAAAGGCATAATATCTAGTTTTTCTTGTCCACGAACTAAACGTTTTATACGCTTCCCAACATCTTTAAAATATGTTTGAGCAAGTTTTTTCAATTTAAACCTGACACCTTTTACACGTTCACGACTGAAATTACTATTATTGAACGTGTATAGCGTTAAGTATGTAGAACTTCATAGATTCGAACACTAGAACAATATTTGTCATATTTATTTATATTGAATATTGAAAACATGGATCTGAACAAATTCGAATGAGAATTCTGCTTACACTTTATCATATAGTGATGCAATCAGCATCCCATTTATGTCTAGTGAGATTACCTATTTGTTGAATGTATCAATTTGTACTAAATAATTGATTGATATTTTTTAAGGTCGAATAAAATAGAGTAAAGACATATTGAAATTTCATGTTAGCCACTGTAATCGGTAAATATTCAATACAATCATGTGATTCTATATTTCTGCCATTATTAATTAAAGAAACAAAGAAAACAAATACACTAGACCAATCTGATATTGTTCATATTTGAAATTTACGATTCACACGTTGATTTCATGAATAGGCAGTCTTCAATTATTATGACCAGTTTTCGTCAGATTTGATGCTGCCTATTTAATTTACTTTGAAGCAATGAAGTTTTTCTATTCGCACACCTGTACAAGCGAGATGATCTCAGACAATAATACGAATAAATAGATTTGCCGTGATTACTCTATTTTATTGAAAGTAGTCGAACTATAATTGCTTACCTCTGCTCGAGATGATACATGCGAGAGAAAATATGGTATTTAACCATTATCAGAAATTGTTACATAAAAATACATGTAATTCCATTAGTGTGTATGAAGGTGATGCATACTCTGTAGGAGTACCTACTTATGCTCGTATCACATCGCTACTGTCTAAAAAGAGAATCGTGTACTTTGTCATGTGTTTTTTTCTTTTACTAAAGATATCATAGAAAGACTTCTTCTTATCTAAGCTATTTGTTGACGAATCGTAAGAGATAACTTAAAATTTCTTCATGTTTCAGTCTCATTTATTTCGAATAGCATACATTGTCATTTGTACTTTGTTTTCGTCGAGTTATGATTAGTTTTCTTTCGAAATAGAATAGAGGTAAGCAGTTTTAAGGCAGTGCATTGAAAGGACAATTTCATTGCAAGAGTTTTAGAATGATCTTACTCATATTATTTACCTAATATTTTTCTGTTTTATACACGTTTCTTTGATTTTATTACGCTTTCATTCTGTTCGGTGACGTGAGCTGAGGGATGATATTAGTTCTTTTTTTTTCGAAATGACTTGAGTATTTCAGATAATATGCTAAGCATATCAATAGGCAGTGTGTTTCCATATTCCTTTGTCTTCGAGAACTATTGTTTTCTAGACTTTGTATTTTTGTTGCTTATTTTCAGATCTTTTCTACTAGTGAAAAGTTAATGGAGATCAACGGCAAGATTATCATATCGGGAATTATTATTTTCGTTCTTCTCTTAGCTTGTACAATTACTTTGAGTGTTTTATATGGCAAAGAACGACAAGAAACAAAACAAATTGACAGAGGTATTAATAGGACTCTAGACAAGGGAACAACGTGCGTTAGTTTATGCTAAAAAAAATCATTTTCTTCTCATTCAATTCATACATCAACACCATCCAAATAATAAGCATCGATATAACATTCGAAAAACAGCAAAAGAATAATAAAAAATGTCTTTGTCGACAAATGTTACTGCCAAGCAGATGCATTTTGGTCGATAAAATCAGTGACGGACCAGGATTTAGCGTGATGCATAATCGTAAACAGATATTGTAAATTATTCTTCAGGGCATTTCATAGATTCTTTTTCTATTTAAAAAGCGATTGCTTGAGTTACTGAAAATAGAAGACTATTCTGACCAACTGACGATACATGTCAATGCGTGATACAGAGCACAGTAGTGCATATATATTTGAATTCTAGTCGATTTCAGGCACGACCAGCAATTAGAACTGAAAAATTCATGTGCTTTTGCCATTTCAAAAAAATAAGTATAATCGAACAAAAAGTGCCAAGAATGTTGTTTGCACGCAACGGAACCATCCATCGACTAAAAATTTGAAATGATACATGAACGGTTGTAACCTTCAAGTTTGACGATATGTTAGAGAAAAATGGATTTTCAGATGGTTTTGATGAGACTTTCACCTAAAATGACTAAACAGCATAAGCTGAACTCACATTTTATACCGAAATTGCCATAATTAACTATGCATAATAATGAAAAACAAAGCCAGAGAACTTTATTAGAGAAATTGACAAAGTTTCAAATAAAGACAAATTAGTCTTGACTTATCCCGTTCTATTTCATATGTATTTGGCTCTGGCCACGTGCAACTTAACCTCCAATCGAAATCTAAATTTCTGACGTAAATTAGCACATAGGACTAGTATTTGTAACTTCGAGTTCTCACATATTTCTCAGTGTGTTAGTTTGGAAAATTTTCCTTCCTCTATTGCATTATTGATTCACATATTCGGCTATCATTTGGATCATATTTTTTTCCCTATTAATTTTGTAAACTCTTGTGTCACTCCAAGTTAATTAATTTGTATGAAATGAACACTTTGTTATTCGAAGCATTTTTCTTTGATCTCTTCCTAAGTAAAGGTACATGGACATCAATCATAAATCCAATAACATATTCTCAATCAGCAGTAGAAAGATTACTCAATGAAGGTGGTTATGTTATGATAAGTGCAGGACGCAATAATAAAATGCCCAGTGATCGTAATTTGAGTGATGACACCATTCAAGAACGAACCGTTAATTTGACCATTGATTTGACCAATTTATATGCTTATTCATCTATGATAGGTGTCTATAATGGCGATAATGAAACAAGTTTTTTTGTTATTCTACACAATGTTTCACCGGATGTGGAACGTACGACATTTATTCAATTGGGTCAAAAGTATAATCAAGAGTCCATTATTTATGTTAAACGAGCGATTCCCACCATACAGCAATTCATCTATACAACAGGTGAATTCAGTGGAAAATATGTCGAAGGATTAGGATATAAAATACTCACTACAAATGTAACCGACGATTACAGTGAATTAACATTATGTCCGAATAACTTATTTAAATTTACACTAAATTTTGATTTTGAAATAATGATGATGGGAAAACTTCGAAAGAAAACACGACAACTAATTGATCATCATACCAATTATATACTAGCCAATAAGCAGAGACAACACCCCTGAGCATGTTTTCTATTGACAAATATGGACAAGCTATTTTCTTTTCTTTTTACGAAAAATGTCAAAATTTGTTTTGGTGCAATTCAAGTTATTGTTTCAGAAGAGTGGTAAAATATTTTGAAAGATTATACTTTATCTGTAAAGAAACTTAACGAAGAGTTCATGAATAAGCAACATGAATGTCTCCAGTAGTAAACCAACGAATGCCTTTCGAATATGAATAAAATTGCCATCAAAAGAAGGTGATATGGAATATAATGAGGTTTTTGAGAAGGTCAACAATTTCTACTAGCCGATAATTATTCATTAGATACAGCCAATTAGTTTTCTATTCTTCACTCTTAATCTATACAAGATACTGATTAATGAGAACAAGTCCTACGTCTAAAAGAGAGTTTTTAAGTTGATATTTTAACTAGAACTAGATTTCAATGGTTCTCAGAATTATCTATTGAAGTTTTTACTTTTCAGCATAACTTAATAATAAATAAAAAGACACGATGAAGACGAAGAAAGTAACCTCTTCGAAAAAAGAATCTCCATGCAGTATCGATTTATTTCCTCCTGGATCTAACGCAGGATGAATGGTCATGCATATTGAGCGTGACTGGACGAACTCTAACAACATCGTTGTGAGATTCTACGAGAGAAAAAGACTTTCTGTGGTAAAGTCTAAAAAAACTGGGACCTCGAGTCACCTCTTTCATTGTATTTCGCTGTGCCGACACCGAACATCGCACTGAAATATAATTCTGGTAGAGAGACGCTTTTTTTCCTTATCAATTCAATGTCATTTTCGTATATTCAGTTTTGACAACTCAAATATGATGATGTTTACAACATAACAGCGAACTCCTCTCTACAAAATCTGATATACTTATCATATGTTCAGATTCTACATTCGAAAAATACGATAGTCGATATTTTGTCAATTTTCATGGTTTTTCATGAAATTTTGTACTTTGTTAAAGAAGAGGAATAGTTGAAATATGTGTTTTCTATTCAGTTTTACACGCTCGACTCAGCGAAACCATGGGAAAAGTGATAAAATTTTTAAACATCATCTTTTCAATTTTTTCTTGGACTTCTATCATCATGTAATCTTTCTCTGACAGCAATTAATAGCAGTTCTTTTGATAGCAAGATTATGAAATCAACTATGCTCGACACAGTAAGCTAAGTTAAAATCCATTTGGAAGATGTTATATATAAAGTGTCAAACATACGGTGAAACTACACATGGTTTATAGGTGATCTGAAACCGATACAGAAATGATTTAATGTTTTACTAAAACCAAATTCTTCGTATAATTCAGCATCGACTGTATTAGATACAAATAGATTTTAAAAATGTTCGAACACTCGTTCTTAGATGTCGCTGTCCGTCTGTCATAGGCAAACAATCAATTTTTCAGTGCCATTGAGTACTGATCAATTAGGGCTCATTGTCTATGCAGATACATTACTTGAACACAAAATGTATCTTTGTTTATTATGCACGTTTCACACAATATACATGTAGCAGAGACTACATTCGAAGTAGGACTGCCCAAGAACAGGAAAAGAAGTAGAGTTGCAGATTGGACATATGCATTATTTTTGTTGGTTATATAGAC